TCCAGCGCCGCGGGGTCCGACAGGTTGACCTGGCCCTGCGGGAAACCGGCCAGCGCTCCCGGGTCCAGGGCCAGACGCGGGGGCGAGGCTCGGGCCGGGGGACCCCGCAGCGCGCGCACCAGGCGCATGAGTGTTTCCAGGAACGGGTCGGCGCTGGGGAGCGGCTCCTCGGGCTCCGGGGACGCCCTGGACAGCGGAGTAGAGGGTCACAAGGAGGTCGTGAAGGTGCAGGGTCCTTCCGCCCCCACTCCCCCACTCCAGGTCTGGGCCTGCGCGCACTTGGGCTGCGGAAAGGGCACCGAGTCCAGCTGGCCTCGCGCGGACAGAGGCACAGGCTCTTGTGGGGGCAGCAGCAACAGGGCCGGGGTCATCCGTGTGAAGCAGCGGGAATCCGCGCCAAACAGCAGGGCCTGCATCTGGGCAGTGCTCAGGGGGGCACCTGCGGGGTGGGGGGAGGCACGTGTGTGGTGCTGGCTCAGCAGCTTGGGGTTTTGGGGTAGGGGTCAGCTGCCCGACGGGTCCCTGTCTGGGGGGGCCTACCGTTTCCGCGGTGCCGCAGGGTCAGAGCAAGCCCAGGGCTGCGCCAGGCCACCTCCGGGCGGTCCACAGCCAGCACCAGGTAACCGGAGTCCGGAGCTGGACAGAGACTCTGCAGAGATGGGAGCTCAGCCAGGCAGGGCAGGGCTGCCGGGTGCCAGCCCTGCTCAGCCTACTGCTCTTAATACCCCTTCAGGATTCCAGCCTGGACCTTGGCAGCCTTTCTGTTAAGCAGTTAGAAAACCCCATCGCCCTCCCTTGCCAGGAGTGAGGGCTCCTGGGGCCCAGGGACAGCCCCCTCAACTCCCTGGTACCTGGGTGCCGGGCAGCCCAGTCCCGGTGACGGTGACCTCAGGGCCGGTTCCTGGGTACAACACCAGCAGGGCCAGCTCCAGGGGACTGGCTCCTCCAGGTGGAGGCTCCTGGAACTTCAGCGAGGGCGTCAGCTCCCACATCACTGTGGCCAGAACAATGGAGGAAGGATGCCTGAGCCACGGAAGCCGGAGCCCCTCCCG